TGTCAATATTTATCTCTAATTTTATTTTATTCTCTAGCATATCATATAAAAGATCATTATATCTATTTCATCTAAAGTTTACTAAACCTATTTACTTCATTAATCTCCTAATAAAGTAGTATTCAAAGTAGCTATTTGTTTTGTAATTTTACTATTATTATCTAATAAATCAAGTCATTTATTCTGATAAAACCATATTACTCATCGTCTATAATTATCATATCTTGTTATTTCTTGTTAACTCAATCTATCATCTAACTCTTTAACTCTTTCATATTGCTATACATTAACATTATGACTATCTAAAAAATTTTTATTTTTTAATTATCTGATTCTTTCATCTATAGCTTCTCTGTCACGTAAATCTGCTATATTATTATTAGCTAATAATTCATTCTTAATCTGATCATAATATTGGTCTGATAATTCTTTTAATTTATTCTTTCTTAATTGTTGTAATTCCAATTTTTGAAAAGCATTAATACTGAATAAAGATATTCTATATTTTCAATAATCAGGTTTCTTAAGTCTAGATATCACTGTTTTTTAGAAATACTATCTTTAATTGTTAAAAATACATTTTCTTGATTTATGTTTTTCAAATCCTTTATCTTTGATTCATATAATTAGGTTTCTCAAGTCTAGATATCACTGTTTCTTTAGAAATACCATCTTTAATTATTAAAAATACATTTTCTTGATTTATGTTTTCCAAATCCTTTATCTTTAATTCATATAAATCTTGTAATTTATTCTTATTATTCAGTATAAACATTGATTTATCTATCACATTCTTTCAAAAATCTTTTAATTTGTTTATATCAGTTTCATCAGAAATAGCTTGAAAATATTTATTATATTCTAATAAATAATATTTTATATAATTTAATCTATTATTTTTAACTATTTGCAATTGTTGTTTTAATATATCTGTTAACAAGAAATCCTCTTGAATCTGATTGTACCAGTATTCACTATTTTCTAATTTTTCTACTAATTTTTCATTCTTAATCTCTTTATTCAAATCATAAAATTGATTCAATGTTTCATATCTTGTTTGTCTTATTGATTGTAATACATTCTGTTTATCACAAAAAAGATTAGAAGAAACTATTGTTTAATCTATCACACCTCTATCTTCTAATAAAGTAAGATCTATACAATTATTAATCTGATTCTCTAAATTATTGTATATATCATCTTTACTTGGTAGTTTTTTATTTGGTTTTTTTCAAATTTGAATTTATTTATTAAGATACTGTTATCAAAGTTATCACAAATGATTCATAATATTCATTATCATTATCATTTATTTCATATACAATTTTTGGTCTTTTACATTTACAAAATCTTTTATCAGAAGAAGTAACTTTACAATGAGATCTTTTATTTCTTTTTATTGTTATTTATTATTAATTTATTAAATAATTGTTTAATTATTTATATTAATTTTCATTAACTAATAATATATAATTTATTAACTATTACTAACAAATTATCTAAATAGTTTTAGATAATGGAATTGGATTAAGAGAAGATCTAATATCCACTTTCATATCTTTATCTTTACAACATTTTTCCTACATTTTCATCATAATCTGATTATACATACTATGAAAATAGGTTTTTAAAAAAGACCCATTTCATCTCCAATAGAGCAAATTAAAATTTTTTATAAGAAAGGACAAATAAAATTTTATATTTATATTTCTTATAATTTCATTTATTCAAAAAAAGTGTCAAAAATTTTTGTTTTTTAAGTAAAGGTAGGTCAAAACAATTTTGTCTTCAAATTTAATTTCAGATTTTGTCTTCTCAAAATAATTTCATTTTCATATATAAATCTGATATGCTCTGGCACTAGTAATATCTATTTTCTATGCTAATTCAATCTTTCCTTTGCTAATAAATGCAGAAATTTCAGAAGTACCTAAAGAAGGATTAAATTTCTCACTAAATAATAATCTACCATTTTCAGATATAGTGCATAAACATATATCATACATTTATTTCATGTTGTCAATAACTATCACAACTACAAAATTCTTATTATAAACAACATTCTCCCTATTATTGCTTAATAATATATATGATTTAAGATTACCAATATCATAGCACACAAGATAACAGAAACTCTTTCTGCTGATCTTCAATTTTATAAGACACAAAAACAACAAACTTGAGTTTGCAAAAAATTTACTTTAAAGAACGGGCTCTTTGACATTAAAAAAGAAGAAAGAAGATAAAAAATTAGCAACATTTTACTAGAGCAACTTCTTGGAGAAGCTACTCACACAAAACAAAAAAAAAGAGCTTTTCAAAAATTTTTAGAAAATTTTCAGAAAAATTGGAAACCTGGTTGCAACCCTGAAGAGCTGATCGATCAATGTGTAAACAAACAGAAGTAAACAAACATAAAAACTTAAGTAAACAAATAAACAAACAAACTAATATATGTCTAACTAGAATACTTAGTAGATAGTCTAGAATCTTCTAGAAATATAACACTATAGATAGATAAAACAGCAACTAAAGACAAAGTAATAATGACAGATCTGAAAGAGAATTTTTAGAGGCAAGTGACCCAAAGCAAGTTTATATTATAATAATCTTGATAGACAAACATAGAAACATACTCAAAAACCTCTCCAAAAAGAAGAACACAACAGTAGAGGAAAAATACTTAGTTAATTAGATAGAAATAGAACATAGAAGTAATATGCAAGATATAACTTATAATGAAAAAGAAAAAGCTCAAAAGGAAGAAACAATAATAGAAATAGAACCACTAACAACACAATTAGCAATTCAAGAGTTGTGTCCAAAAAGAAAAAATGTAGTATTAGAAAAGGATAACAATACTACAAAAAAAAAGAAGGAGAAAAGAACAAATAAGCAA